CCCCCTTTTACCCTCGCATACCAGAGAGTGGGGAATGATCGGTATCCGTGTCATAGAGTAGCTTTTTGAAAAATCAAAATACGTGTTTTACCATTTTTTGATATTTTCATTTTTACAAAAATTATATAAGGGTTTCCACACTTTTGACAAACCCTGTATATTACATTCAGCGCAAATTAATTCAATCATATCACCCGTTACAAATTTACCTAAAACATCCATACAACTGCTTTCATCGTCTAAGCCAGAACCTGGTTGCAGACCAGCCTTATCATCAGAAAACAGATGGATTTTTGGAATAAAAGTTTCCCCTTCTACCCACATGAGGTTTTTATAAATGAATTCCACTTATCAGACAATGACACATCGTCGAATTACTTCAATGATATCATCAGTTTCTATTTCTTGATGAAAATTTTGTACATTTTCTCCGAACTCATCTTCGCCATCATCCACAAACCATTCATCATCAGTATTACTATAATCAATAAAATGAAATGAACTATTTTCCGAAGGAGATGGAGATCTGGCTCTTACTCAAGTATCTACTTGGGGCTATTTTCGGTGTGGAAAACATTATTGAATGTAGTTAAGAAGGACGTTGATTTTATATATAGATACAGTGGCGTGCAAAAGTTTCGAGCCATAATGTCTTTTTAAGATGCATGACAATATATTGATTTGCTCTAAAAATTAATTATATAAAATAGTTGACATAACATTCTTACAAATAATAGTACAGTTACAAAATTTTGAAATTACATAGTTTCTAATTATTTAGTCATATAATATTTACATGTGTTCAAAAGTACTGAGCCATATTCTTGTTATGACTTTATGAACCCGGTTTATTTACGTTTCTTATGAAACTCCTTCGTAAATATTTGCTTTAACTAAGTTTCAGTCTATTGTCTATCGCAATGCCGAAACATACAAGCCTTTAGTTGCGCAAAGCCGTGATTAATCTTTCTCAACAAAGAAAGGTTTCTCACGAAATTGCTAATCGCTTATTAATCGGTAAAAGTACTGTAAATAGGATTATTGCTAAATGTAAGTTGACGAACTCTCTAGCTGATAAACCACGAAACGATAGACCTCGCAAAACTATAAAGCGCGTCGATAAAATGATTAAAAGGAAGTCGATAGTAGATGTTAGAAAAACTGCCATGGATATTTCTTGAGAACTAGGAGAAGAAAATCTTGCTGATATTAGTCGAAGTGGAATATCTCGATGTCTAAAGGAAGTAGACCTTTTGAACAAGTCAAGGACTCTCTGGATTGTGATGGTAGTGTGATAAATATGACCTACTGAAAATGGATTTCAATAAACGGGTGGGACCAATAAATAAGGACACAAAAGAAAACAAAACTTACTGCTGATTCGAGATGAGTTGACACAAGAGAAAAGAGAATGGCGCAGATCTGCATAGGTGTTCTGCTTTCCAATATTTGGAACTTTGCACCAGCCGAATATTCCAATTGGGGCACCAAATAATTGTCCACTGGTTGAAACCACGAAGCCCGTACTTTTCTCAAAATCTGAGTGCTTGAATGCTTTAATACTTGAATCTGAATATCTGACTATCTGAATCTGAATGCTCGTGGAAGCGTATGTCGCGGTTTTTATACGGATAATCGGAGGCAGGACCCACTAGGGTGAGTAGAGAGATGGCCTTTGAGGAAGAGGTGAAGCCCTAAGGAGAGCCCAATAATGTCAAAGATTTAATTAGTAAAATTTTAGTATTGGTCCTGGTTGACCTTAGTGAGAAAAGTCTTAGCCATTAGAAATTAAGGGTGAAGTTAGAAGACCTCGTGGGAGGAGATAGTTAGTTCTAGAAGACATGAATATAGATGGGATAAGGGGTGGAGCGTGGATGTTTCATAATTTTGGATGGATAGGTTATGATTGGCCGAATGAGTTAGATGTAAAAAGTGCGGTGGTGGTGGTTCTGGTGGGGTAAAGAAATGTATACAAGTGGCCAGCTGGAAAAGTCAAGATGCCGTAAATCAAAGGCTGAGATAAGATTTTACAACTAAGCTTTGTTGTTAGACTGCATATGGTTTTAGATTAGGGAGATGTAGGTTTCAAGGTTTTAGAGCAGGAGTGTTTCGAGTTGCTTTGTTTTGCTGGAGATCTGTTAGCGCAGAGTTTCAAATTTTATAGCTAAGCCGACAGACACACTTAGTGAACACTACCCAAATATAAACTCTGAACAAAGACGTGTAGATTTTCACAATAGGGTACTGTTTTTTGTTATGGGATATTACCTTCGATTTGACGCGACGGCTGTTCACCAGATGTGTCTGTTTCCTACGACCTTTGTTATATTAGAAAAATAGAAGTTTGAGAGAGAAAAGGAATTGTTAATTGCCTGGAGTCCGCAGGACGTAACAACATTCATCCTTACTACGCTATTCTGAATTTCGAAAATCTTACAACGGATTTGTAATCAGCGACATTAAAACCCCTGGATACCTAGTTTCACGGAAATTGACTGAATTTTGAATTTTACGTCCGCCATATTAGATTCGCCATTTTGAATTTCGAAAATCTGACAACGGTCTTGTAATCAGTGACCCAGAAAACCCCTGGACACAAAGTTTTATAGAAATCGGTTAAAAGAAAAATTCGTGGCTCAAAGGGTTAAAAAGATTTTTTCATTGTCACCTAATTCGTTCGCGTGGGGGTCTATTAATTACAATCGGCCCATCTAAATGATTATTGTACATGCAAATCTTGTTCATCATTTTATTTATTTTCTTAAATAAATTTTTATGTTGAAGAACATAAATATTTGCCTCTTACTTTTTTTCCAAACATATTTAATTTTCCTAGGTCATTTAAAGATTATGTAATATGTCGTTAAACTCCTTTCAATGTTAATATAAAAGCTTACAAACAAAGACACGTAGTAATTTAAAAAATTAACTTGATCTTCAAATCTCTGAGAAAATGAAAGGAATAAAAAAGTTCTTCTGTCATCATAATTGCCCTCTCAAACGTTTTCCTTTAGCATTTCTTCATATCATTAAAAATAAATGAGAAATTTAAGATACTCAAGTTGAGAACCGCTCTATACATACAGGGTGAGGAAAAAAGATGGAAACCTTTAAAAATCTCTAAAGATACAAATTTTACAGAAAAGTGTTTCAGAAAAAGTTATAAGGTTCAAAACAATGTATTACTGATCTTATCAATTTGACCTTGAGTGGTATTGCCAAAGTCAGGTCAAGGTCAACTTATTTTTTTAAACAGAAACTCCCATTTTTTATTATATTGTCGCGCACTCGCGCACTCGCGAGACGAATTCCGACGCGCGGAGAGAAATCACTGAACACTGGGTAAAAGAACGAAAAGCTTTATTTATAGCAAAGCTGAACCGCCGCAAACTCTCTTGCGCAAGAATTATAACAACAGAGGCGACACCGAACGCTGCACGTCAGCCCGTATTGACAGCTCGAGCTCAATCTCTCAGCTGTTCGCTTTCTATCGATTTTTTCCGTCGTTCAGACAATCTTCCTTCAGTTGTCAAAATCAGATGCCTAAGGCTCGCGGACAATGGACGCTGCCACAATCCTTGTAGCTCGGACACAACAATATCATCCTTTTTTACCAATTAATTTGAACAATTTTTGTTGGAAACATTTTTTAATTTGTCTAATATTTTTGAAATATTTAAGGAAAACTCAGAAACTTTTCAATATTTAACTTATGATATCTCGCTAACTATTTGTCAAAAGAAAAAATGGTACTAGACTTTTCTATTCTATTTAGTCCCAAGAACATATTGTTACAATAGTACCCTAACTTTTGTTAACTTATCGACTTTTGGAAATTTCAAAATCATCAAATTAACAAAAGTCAGGGCGCTATTGTAATAATATATTCTTGAGACAAAGTAGAGTAAAAAAGTCTAGTACCATTTTTTGTTCCAGCAAACATTTAGCGAAATATCGTAAGTTAGATATCGAAAAAGTTACCAAGTTTTCTTTAAATATCTCAAAAATATTAGACAAATTAAAAAACGTTTCAGAAAAAATTGTCCAAACTAATTGATAGAAAAGGGTGATATAATAAAAAATTTAGGTTTCTATTTAAGAAAAGTAATGATCAGTGGATATTTTAAAAGTGGCGCCATCTGTAAACAAACTGATATAGTTATTCTGTCCCCCTTGAAATCATACAACTTTTATCTGAAACATTTTTTTATATCTTTCATATTTTTCAAAATATTTGACTGTCAAAAATAAAATGGGATACCCTGTATATAAATTTCAAAGGTAGCCCGCAACAAGCCTGCGTATATGTATGATCGTAGACATAAAGGTTGTCACTATTTTTTTAATAACTTTCGGGACGTATCCCGACTCGAGAAGAATGAGAGCTGCTGCTGCACCCACGGAGCACGCCTGCACAGTGACTCACTACGAAAGGCGAGAAATGAAATATACGTGGTATGACATCCCAGACAGCACCGGACATCCAATGGATGTACGTTACACGCCCAATTTATGTCCGTATGTCCGATTTACGTCCGTGGACATAAATTGGACGTAACAAGGATGTCCTTATTGGACATCGGACCTGTAAGACGTCTGATGTACGTCCATCGGACGTCCTATGTCTGAAGTTGTGACAAACGTACGTCCTATGGACGTCTTTTGTAAAAAAATGTACATATAACGGATGTCCAATGGACATGTCTGAGATAAGTATGTAAACAATTTTTACATTTTGCTTGTAATATCTATCCTTAATAATTCCTTTCCGCTATAGACAAATATGAAAACAATTTCCAACATAATTAATATGTTTCAACATTAATTATGTTGGAAATTGTTTCCATATTTGTCTATAGCGGAAAAGAATTAAGGATCAAAAACCACAGTGGTTTGCGCCAAAGTACGCTTTTTGCTGTTACGCTCCTGAACTGCTTCTTGACTGCCGTGGTATATTCACGCGAATTAGTTGGAAGCATAATTTAGAGTTTCGCTATTACCACTAAACCAGTGCAGTTCTCAGTGGTCTCAATCGATTCCTTGGGTCTAAATTAGTTAATAACACTGTCTTTATTTTTGCTCTACGTATCCTGTGAGCCGAGATACTCCAGTCCAAAGTTCAATTTACGAAGATTTCATGTTCGCTAGCATTGGTAAAACTGCCACGCCGAAAATGTCCATCTCACATTTCTTCTGTTAGAGGTGTTGCGAACCCATCGTCAGAGGCGCCATAATTTGAAAGTTATGTACGAGTGTGTTCGACATATGTAGTGATGTTTGAATGCTACAAGAAAAAGTGGTGATCGGTGATTAGTTCATAAGCCGAACGAGAAAACCAGGAAGAGAGGAAATTAAGATATACGTAATATACTTGACGGAATTTTACTGCACATTAGAACAGGTAAGTACCCAGACAGCACACGGATGTCCATTGGAGGTCCGTTATATGTCAATTTTTTTACAAAAGTCGTCCATAGGACGTACGTTTGTCACAACTTCGGACATAGGACGTCCGATGGACGTACATCGGACGTCCGATGGACGTACATCGGACGTCCTACAGATCCGATGTCCAATAAGGACATCCTTGTTACATCCAATTTATGTCCACGGACGTAAATCGGACATATGGACATAAATTGGACATGAAATGTACATTCATTGGATGTTCGGTGCTGTCTGGGAATATTCTATAAAAAACATCTTTTATTATTATATGCATTCATATATATTTATTTGCCCATAACTAGAATATATTATTTCATACAGTACATTTCACATTTTCAGATTGCAGTGTTGGGACATATTTGTTATTTGTCCTCACAGCAGCAACCTGAAAATATAAAATATTAGGTGTACAAATGAATAATCCAAATTTATACCTCACCCCAAATGTTATGCCCGCGCGTGAAAGAAATAACTCGGGATAAACTAAACGAGAAAAGCTTTATTTACAACCAAGAAAAACGGATCTTAATCAATCTCAAAATAATCGCACGAATTCGCTTTACGTCCGTACGTCGTGACAGGACTAGAGCGACTCTACTCTACTCTATTTTTTTTTGTTAGAAAACAAACTCCTTGACAATGATAACAGCTGTCAAACACTCTCTATATGCCTTCTTCACAGTTTTCTCCCAAGAGCGTGGGAACAACACGTTCTCCAAAGGCGTAGGCACAACACTGTCCCTTCTCTTTCAAAATTGTCGTCCCGACAATTCCATGGAAAGTTGTTCTTCTTCAAGTCTATCTCCAAAATTTCTTTTGTATTGGAAGCTGTTTTTCGCGGAATCATTCCAACCATTAGCTTGCGATATTAGAGAAAATTGTGGAAGGAACTCTCTTAAAGGCACCGTCCCATCATAAATATCTGATTTTACTTTGACGTCACAAAATACACGTTCTCCTTCAACATTCATTCTCGAATTTTCGAGATCGATAACATTACGAGATTCATTCCCAAAAATACTATTATTAGAAGGACTCATCTGTTTATCCAGTTTTTCTTCCAGGCGTTTAAAAGCTGAATCACGCTCCTCAAGCTGCGTTTTTAATTCATTTTGAATTCGTAGCTGCTCTCTTTGATCCTGCTGCCGTTCTTCCCTTAGTTGCTACAACTCCTGAAGAACGGCTCGTAATGAATCATCTGAGGTAGCCGGCATCTGAGCACGAGTCCTCCTCGGCGAATGTGCCAAAGCCATTTCTTTTTCTTTCACTTTCACACACGAGCACGTCTACGATTTCTATCGTTATTGAACCCGGACGAGCCCCCAAATGTTATGCCCGCGCGTGAAAGAAATAACTCGAGATAAACTAAACGAGAAAAGCTTTATTTACAACCAAGAAAAACGGATCTTAATCAATCTCAAAATAATCGCACAAATTCGCTTTACGTCCGTACGCCGTGACAGGACTAGAGCGACTCTACTCTACTCTATTTTTTTTGTTAGAAAAACTCTGACAACGATAACAGCTGTCAAACACTCTCTATATGCCTTCTTCACAGTTTTCTCCCAAGAGCGTGGGAACAACACGTTCCCCAAAGGCGTGGGCACAACAATATAAAATATTAGGTGTACAAATGAATAATCCAAATTATTTTAAGCAGTTATGAAATCAATTTTAAATTGAATAGATTTTCCCGCTCTTTTGTGATTATGCAATGTTGACATATAGCTATTAAAAAGAACATACACATGGTAGTTTGGCGAAAGGCCCAACATAACCTTCAAAAGTATTCAGTTCAGTACAGTCAATGGCAGTACAGAAAATGGCAACAGATAAGATGCATATCCGATACTGCATTCTTTACGAATTCCAACTAGGAAATAATGCTGCAAGAGCGTGCGAATCGATTTGTTCCTTTCTCGGCGAAGGTGTTATATCGTATGATGTATGCGCATTTAAGCGGTTTAAAAGCGGTAATCTCAGTCTAATCGACAAACAATGCCCTGGAGGCCCTCCGAAGTGCGATAATGATGATTTGGAACAACTGCTCGCTGAGAATTCGGCACAAACATAAAAAGAGTTTGCAGAACAGTTGGGAGTAACGCAACAAACGATTTCCAAACATCTACATAAGATGGGAAAGATTCAGAAAGAAGGAAAATGGATTCCGCATGAACTCACTGAAACCAACAAAAATCAACGACTGGCAGCGTGTCTTTCTCTTCCCAATAAGCAGCGTCGAAAGTCTTTCTTGTGGAAAATCATTACGGGCGATGAGAAATGGATACTCTATGACAATCCGAAACGCAGAAAGTCATGGGTAAATTCCGGCGAATCATCAAAATCGGTCGCAAAACCCAATCGCTTCGGAAAGAAGGTTCTTCTCTGCATTTGGTGGGATATCAAGGGCGTACTTTATTATGAGATGTTGGAACTGGGTGAAACAGTTACTGCGGACTGCTACCAACGTCAATTAATCTGCTTGAGTCAAGAATTGGAACGAAAACGTCCATATACTGGCAAAGGAGAACGTCCAGTGAAATTGTTGCATGACAACGCCAGGCCACACATTGCTTCCAATACAAAAGACACCATAATGAATCTTGGCTGGGACGTCTTGCAGCACCCGGCGTATTCACCAGACATTGCTCTATCCGATTATCACTTCCGATCGATGCAACACGCCTTGTCCGAGATGCACTTCCAATCAGTGGATGAAATCCGAAAAAGGCTTGACGACTTTATCGCGTCCAAAGACGTAACATTTTTCCGAGATGAAATTCATCAGCTGCCTGAAAGATGGCTTAAAGTTACAGAAAGCAACGGCGAATACTTTGATTGAACAATTTAATTTACTTTCTTTTAAAATAAATCTTGAATGTAGCTGAAAAAATTGGATTATTCATTTGTACACCTAATATGCAATCTGAAATAACATATTATTGTTTTGGGCAAGAACATATTAGGTGTACAAATGAATAATCTAATTTTTTCAGCTACATTCAAGGTTTATTTTACAAAAAAAGTAAATTAAATTGTTCAATCATAGTATTCGCCGTTGTTTTCTATAACTTTAAGCCATCTTTCAGGCAGCTGATGAATTCCATCTCGGAAAAATGTTACGTCTTTGGACGCGATAAAGTCGTCAAGCCTTTTTCGGATCTCATCCACCGATTGGAAGTGCATTTCGGACAAGGCGTGTTGCATCGATCGGAAGTGATAATCGGATAGAGCAATGTCTGGTGAATACGCCGGGTGCTGCAAGACGTCCCACCTAAAACTCATTATGGTGTCTTTTGTATTGGAAGCAATGTGTGGCCTGGCGTTGTCATGCAATAATTTCATTGGACGTTCTCTTTTGCCAGTATACGGGCGTTTTCGTTCCAATTCTTGACTCAAGCAGATTAATTGACGTTGGTAGCGGTCCGCAATAACTGTTTCACCCGGTTCCAACAACTCATAATAAAGCACGCCCTTGATATCTTACCAAATGCAGAGAAGAACCTTCTTTTCGAAGCGATTGAGTTTTGCGACCGATTTTGATGATTCGCCGGAATTTACCCATGACTTTCTGCGTTTCGGATTGTCATAGAGTATCCATTTCTCATCGCCCGTAACGATTTTTCACAAGAAAGACTTTCGACGCTGCTTATTGGGAAGAGAAAGACACGCTGCCAGTCGTTGATTTTTGTTGGTTTCAGTGAGTTCATGCGGAACCCATTTTTCTTCTTTCTGGATCTTTCCCATCTCATGTAGGTGTTTGGAAATCGTTTGTTGCGTTACTCCCAACTGTTCTGCAAACTCTTTTTGTGTTTGTGCCGAATTCTCAGCGAGCAGTTGTTCCAAATCATCATTATCGCACTTCGGAGGGCCTCCAGGGCATTGTTTGTCGATTAGACTGAAATTACCGCTTTTAAACCGCTTAAACCAAAATGCGCACACATCGTACGATACAACACCTTCGCTGAGAACAAATCGATTCGTACGCTCTTATAGCATTTTTTCCTTGTTGAAATTCGTAAAAAATGCAGTGTCGTATATGCTTATCTGTTGCCATTTTTTGTACTGCCATTGACTGTACTGAACTGAATACTTTTGAAGGTTATGTTAGGCCTTTCGTCAAACTATATGTTCTTTTTAATAGCTTTTTAATATGCTTTAATAGCTCTTTAATATGTCAATATTGCATAATCACAAAAGAGCGGGAAAATCTATTCAATTTAAAATTGATTTCATAACTGCTTAATATAATTTTGATTATTCATTTGTACACCTAATATACAGGGTGTTTGATAGCTGATCATGTAGACGAAAGTTGGAGATAGATTGGGTGCAGCCGAGAAGAAAAGTCATGTACCATAATGTCAAATTGGCAATAGTTACCGAGTTATTAATTAAAACATGTGAGCCAACGAGCACGTAGAGAGCGGAGGGCGGCCGCAGTAAGCACGTAGACATGTGATACAGGCGGAGTCAGTGAGTAGCAATAGGCAAGCGCGCGCGGCGAGGGGCAACGTAAGCGACAAGAAGCGATCGCGCGCGACGAGGAGCGAGCGAGCTTTTTCTTTATAGCTTTTTCCTTATAGCTCGCTCGCTCCTCGTCGTCGCGCCCTCTCGCTCTTCGTCGCGCTCGCTCGCCTTTTGTCGCTTGCGCTCGCTTGCTCCTCGTCGTTCGCGCGATCGCCTCTTGTCGCTTACGTTGCCCCTCGCCGCGCGCGCTTGCCTATTGCCACTCACTGACTCCGCCTGTATCAAATGTCTACGTGCTTACTGCGGCCGCCCTCCGCTCTCTACGCGCTCGTTGGCTCACATGTTTTAATTAATAACTCGATAACT